TTCCTTCTAACAGTCAGGACCCTCAGCTGCAGGTCTGTTGGAGTTTGCTTGAGGTCCACTCCAGACCCTGTTTGCCTGGGTATCAGCAGCAGAGGCTGCAGAAGATAGAATATTGCTGAACAGCAAGTGTTGCTGTCTGATTCTTGCTCTGGAAGCTTCGTCTCAGGGGTGTACCCAGCTGTGTGAGGTGTGAGGTATTAGTCTGCACCTAGTGGGGGATGTCTCCCAGTTAGGCAATTCAGGGGTCAGGGACTCACTTGAGCAGGCAGTCTGTCCGTTCTCAGATCTCAACCTTCATGCTGGGGGATCCACTGGTCTTTTCAAAGCTGTCAGACAGGGACATTTACCTCCTCTGAGGTTTCTGCTGCTTTTTGTTTAGCTATGCCCTGTCCCCAGAGGTGGAGTCTATAGAGGCAGGCAGGCCTCCTTGAGCTGTGGTGGGCTCCCCCCAATTCGAACTTCTCAGCAGCTTTGTTTACCTACTTAAGCCTCAGCAATGGCAGGCGCCCCTCCCCCAGGCTCACTGCCACTTTGCAGTTAGATCTCAGACTGCTGTGCTAGCAATGAGGGAGGCTCCATGGGCGTGGGACCCTCCAGGCCAGGTGTGGGATATAATCTGGTGTGCTATTTGCTAAGACCCTTGGTAAAGCACAATATTAGGGTGGGAGTTCCCCAATTTTCCAGGTGTTGTGTGTCTCACTTTCCTTTGGCTAGGAAAAGGAATTCCCTTTGCCCTTGCGCTCCCCAGGTAAGGCGATGCCTCGCCCTGCTTCAGCTCTCGCTGGTCGGGCTGCACCCGGGGACCAGAGCCAACTGTCCGACATGCCCCAGTTAGATGAACCCAGTACCTCAGTTGAAAATGCAGAAATCACCTATCTTCTGTGTTGCTCACACTGGGAGCTGGAGGCTGGAGCTGTTCCTATTTGGCCATCTTGGGCGTGCCCCCTCTGCTAACCTTTTAAATTTCACCTTTGGTGTCAGTTTTTTTCAAGTGTCCCCTCTGAAAACATCATGTCCCTAGAATTTTGCAAAATTATCTTATTTTCAACAGAAAAATATCTGTATAATCATTTCATATTTTAAACATAACTATTATGCTTTTTTTTTTTTTGCTTTTCTCTTCTTGCTTTCTGTACTATTTAAAATATTTTTCTTTTTTTTGCATAAGCTCATAGTTGTTATTATCTTCTGCAGTGACTGGAAATGTTAGGCATTCTTCTGAAAGTTTCTCAAAGACTTTCTTAAAGCATGGTAAACTGTCAAATAGCTTGATAAACTGCTCTTTTCTCTAGTTCCGAGTTGCTTAAGTTGGGGTTTCCCATCTTCTGCTACGATGTTCACTTTCTGAAATGAGAAAGCAGAAGTTTGGATAACAACATTTATGTGCTTTTTTGACAGTCTTTCATTTATTTGGTAGTATCTGCACTATATCTTTTCGAAATTCCCCAGGGTTTCTTATATAGGGATAAATTCCTTTCAGATTTTTAGTACTGATTCAGGTCTCTCTCATTTCTCCTGTCTTTCATATTTCTTTTATCATTTTAGTAGTGACATAGGAGAAGGGAGGTAGAAGTTTGTGTAGAAGCTTCTATCTTGTCAGAAATTTGGTATGCCATATTTTAAGAGGTACTATGATAAATCAGAGGAGCTTGACTTACATGGACAGAAAATGAGTCAAATGATGCACAATTGAAGAAATAGAAATATTTATGGCTAGAGAAGATAAAACATAAATGAGGGGTGATTGCTCTCTTCACATACCTAAAGGAGTACCATGTGGCCCAAGAAACAACCTGACGCAGTGTTGCCTCACAAGCTAGTATTAGAACCAGGGTGGGCCAATTAAACCTGTTCAAGCTGTTCCGAGAAGGATCCTTTCTTAAACGTGGGGTTGAATAATTTAATTTCTCAAGTTCTTTCCAACCCTATTCTTTTGTTAATATAAATAAGGTTGACATTTTTGAATTGTGGGATACAAAAGAGTTTTCTTCTCCAAATTTAGTATATGTAAAAATTAAATGAAAACTTGGTAAAATGCATGCATCTGAGCTCAGAAATTTTGATTTATTTAAGTTTGGGCAGCACATTTTTTATTGATAGTAACCAGGGCTTTAAAATATCATAAATATTATGATAACATAATGCATTAGTTTGAGTAAACAGTAAATGCAATTACTTTATAACATTTGTGACTATAATTTAGAGTTTTGTAAATAAATGGAAAATGGCGCCTAAGTGAATGAAGGAAATGACTGATATCAACAGTTCTACATAAAACTATATCAGCTTGGGTCCTTGGGGAAGCAGACACCAGGATGTAATTGGAAGTGAAAGATAAAGATGAAAGGGAGCAGAGGAAGGAAAAGGAAATCTTCAGTTTGAGATGAGATTTGACACCTCATCAATTGAGAGAGGAAAGGAAAGAAGATGGGGTATGGAAAGTCTTAACTCTAAGGAAGGCTAAGCCAGCCCAACAATTGGCTCATATATGATTGACCACAGAAAAGTCCATTGTTGGGCAGATACAGCCTGGTTCTGACTCCCACATGGTGCCTGGTCATTGATGAGAACTTTGTAGGCAGAATGTGACCTCAGCTTCAACAAGGCAGCAGATCTGAAATGCTGTAGTTGGAACTGTCAATTACCTTTACCCTTTGTGACAGGTACTCTCTTGAAGGGAGATGTGAACAGTGCACGCTCATGGCTGCCACAAAATCCAAGTCATATTTTTGTCAATGCTAAGCAGTATGAATGCTCACTTGGAGACATAATTTGACATCATCTGTACTGTTTCCCTTTGGCTTCTGTTTGTTTGATTCTACTTTTATTAAGTCTCTCAGCTTCCATTTTGTCACTTTTTTTGCGCATCAGGTATACAATATAAATGATTCTATTGGAGTATACTTTTGTTTAAATTGATGTAAAAATAAAATACTCCTCATCAGGATGTGATCATAAAAAAGTGGGATTTTAAAAACTCAAGAGTCTATTGTATTATTCCTCTAGTCTGGCGGCAAGAAGAACTTAAACGTATTAACCAATCTTTCACTGGAGCTGAAAGGAAAGCTGCTCTGTGTGAACTTCTGGAAAAAGAGACTCAGATAATTGCTTCTATTGGGAGACATAGATACATTGCTTATACGGCGAATCAGGAAGCAGCAATACAAGCTTTTTTGGATAAGGTTAGTGAAGTAACTACTGTTTAAATATGAATGTATTCTGAATTTAAAAATGTAGAATAATGTACCAGACGAAAGACTTAGATTACAAGAATTTACATGAATTTTGTTTAGGATTTTGATGACATATTTCTTAAAATGTGATATATATTTTTTTCTGGTATAGCTTTAGATTTTAATAGCAGCCTAGGGTAAAAATTGATAGGTAATATGACATCCATACATTCTTAATTAAGGAGATTGGCCATGAAGCAAAAGATGGAGAGACATTTCTTGTGACTCTGTTCATTTAGATTTAGATTGGCTATATAAATTAGATAAATTGTATACCATGATAAAATGCAGAGTATTAAAGTCACAAAACATCTAGGTCTGGGGTGCTCTGATGGTAAGCAACCTGGGAGAAATAGCTATAGACTAGTATTTTTGCTTTGGCTCACATCATTAACTGACTTCAAATTTCTGACAGAAAGAATATACGATTATTGAAAACCACGAAAACATATAATTAAGGAAAAAACTAAAGTAATTACCACTTTTGTGGTCAAACTGCCTGTTTGATATTGAATAGCCTGTTTCCATAGTGACCAATTTTCTTTTATAAACCTGGTCTTTCCAAACAATTTAAAGCCAATTCAGCTACAGAAGAAAAGGGGTGTATTTCTCTAAGATGTTAGCCTGTAGTGCTTCTATTTCTATGGTTCTTATTATTTGAGGACATTTGTTCTTAAAAACCATAGTTTTGATATTCTAAATGCCCTCTTCTCATCTTATTCACTCCTTTGTTTGATCTCAGTTTATCTGTGCCTTTAACTACTACCTGCATCCCAGAACTCCCTATAGGTCCATGCCAGATCTCTTTAAGGAGCTTCCACATCATATATCCAATGGCCTACTGTCACTGCTCTTTGGATGTCCCAAGATTACACTTCAAGGAGACATGATGAACCCTAAGTCATATCACCTTACTATCCCTTGCCCCCTCGCCTGTAAATTAATCTTGTTCTGCATCATATAACCTATCTGTATGAAATTTCATCATCTACTCAGTTGCTCCAGACAGAAACCTGGGTATTATTTTTGACTTCTCCATCTAGCCACCAACCTGTTTATTCTATTGTTTAATACCTCCTTAATTCTTTTTTTAATCCTTGGTCAATTATTTAATAGTGATTTTGAGCACTTACTAAGTACTCTGTTTTAGCATACATTGTTCCTTTTTTTTATTATACTTTAAGTTCTAGGGTACATGTGCACAACGTGCAGGTTTGATACATAGGTATACATGTGCCAGGTTGGTTTGCTGCACCCATTAACTCGTCATTTACATTAGGTATTTCTCCTAATGCTATCCCTCCCCCTGCTTCCCACCTCATGGCAGGCCCCTGTGTGTGATGTTCCCCACCCTCTGTCCAAGTGTTCTCCTTGTTCAGTTCCCACCTGTAAGTGAGAACTTGCAGTGTTTGGTTTTCTGTCCTTGTGATAGTTTGCTCAGAATAATGGTTTCCAGCTTCATCCCTGCAAAGGACATGAACTCATCCTTTTTTTATGGCTGCATAGTATTCCATGATGTATATATGCCACATTTTCTTAATCCAGTCTATCATTGATGGACATAATGGGTTGGTTCCAAGTTTTTGCTATTGTGAAGAGTGCCGCAATAAACATACGTGTGCATGTGTCTTTATAGTAGCATGATTTATAATCCTTTGGGTATATACCCAGTGATGGGATCACTAAGTCAAATGGTATTTCTAGTTCTAGATCCTTGAGGAATCGCCACACTGTCTTCCATGATGGTTGAACTTGTTTACACTCCCACCAACAGTGTAAAAGCGTTCCTATTTCTCCATATCCTCTCCAGCATCTGTTGTTTCTTGACTTTTTAATGATCGCCATTTTAACTGGTGTGAGATGGTATCTCATTGTGGTTTTGATTTGCATTTCTCTGATCACCAGTGATGATGAGCATTGTTTCATGTGTCTGTTGACTGCATAAATGTCTTCTTTTGAGAAGTGTCTGTTCACGTCCTTCACCCACTTTTTGATGGGGTTGTTTTTTTCTTGTAAATTTGTTTAAGTTCTTTGTAGATTCTGGATATTAACCCTTTGTCAAATGGGTACATTGCAAAAATTTTCTTCCATACTGTAGGTTGCCTGTTTACTCTGATGGTAGTTTCTTTTGCTGTACAGAAGCTCTTTAGTTTAATTAGATCCCATTTGCCTATTTTGACTTTTATTGCCATTGCTTTTGGTGTTTTAGTCATGAAGTCCTTGCCCATGCCTATGTCCTGAATGCTATCGCCTAGGTTTTCTTTTAGGGTTTTTATGGTTTTAGGTCTAACATTTAAGTCTTTAATCCATCTTGAATTAATTTTTCCATAAAGTGTGTAAGGAAGGGATTCAGATTCAGCTTTCTACATATGGCTAGCCAGTTTTCCCAGCACCACTTATTAAATAGGGAATCCTTTTCCCATTTCTTGTTTTTGTCAGGTTTGTCAAAGATCAGATGGTTTTAGATTTATGGTGTTATTTCTGAGGCCTCTGTTCTGTTCCATTGGTCTATATCTCTGTTTTGGTACCAGTAGCATGCTGTTTTGGTTACTGTAGCTTTGTAGTATAGTTTGAAGTCAGGTAGCATGATGCTTCCAGCTTTATTATCTTTGCTTAGGATTGTCTTGGTAATGCAGGCTATTTTTTGGTTCCATATGAACTTTAAAGTAGTTTTTTCCAATTCTGTGAAGAAAGTTATTGGTAACTTGATGGGGATAGCATTGAATCTATAAATTAAGTATGGCCATTTTCACGATATTGATTCTTCCTATCCATGAGCATGGCATGTTCTTCTATTTGTTTGTGTTCTCTTTTATTTCATTGAGCAGTGGTTTGTAGTTCTCCTTGAAGAGGTCCTTCACATCCCTTGTAAGTTGGATTCCTAATACCTCTTTAATTCTTTACTTCTTCCTTTCCAAACCCACTACCATTGCCTGTAGGGAAAAGGCTCTGCCCTGGTGTCCTGATGACCCTGCATATATCAAATAGGCCTTCCTATCTCCCCTGGGAGGATGTCATGAGACAGGTCTTGCCTTATCTTGTGTGCATGAGCTCGACCCTGACTTAACTGAATCTGGATTTTCTTCTCATCTGGATTCCTTTATGTTTCCAAATTGAGCTGCCGCCTTCAGTTTCACTTCTCAGTTCTCTCCTCCATTATCTGCATCACTGCCAACATGGCCTCACTAAACACAACTCTGACCCTGTCCTTCCTCACTGCCCTTAGGGAACAAGGATTTTTGTGTTTGCAAACCTCACTTATCTCACTGTTGCATCACCGCCATTTCTCCCTGCATACTGTACCCATACTGCTTCAGCCATGCTCAATTACTTGCATATCCCCAGAAAGACCAGGTACTCTCGATCCTTTTGCATTGGGTGCCTTTACATGGAACATCCTTTCCTTCCTTCCTTAGTAGCTAGCTATTGACCCTGTAAAACAAGCTCAGATGCCTCTTCTTTCAGAAAGCAAATGCTGGTCCACCTACTTTAGCCTGTGGTATATGCTCTCATGAGACTGTCTCATCTCTGTCTTTGTACATAGTGTGCAGTCTTTATTGTATCTACATGCCTGAATCCTTTCTAGATTTTGAATCTTTAAAGGAAAGAGTTGTCATTTATCTCTGTATCCTCATATCTTAGCACAGTTCTTACTACAGTGTCAATAAATGTTTGTGGAAGAAGGTAGGGAGGAAGAATAAGGGACACAAATAGTGGTTGTATAATTTTGTATTCCAACTATCATCAAGAAATTATGTAATGTAGATACTGTCATTTAAAATGCTTAAATATCTTAATTCTAGGAAAGATGAATTTATTTTAGGAAAGCTATAATATTCATACTTCTCCAGAGTCATCTTTCGAAATAAACTTATTTATTTAGCAAGTTGCTTTATCTGCATCCTGCTTTATCACTGGGATACCTAATTGTTTACCTCACCAGAGAAGAGAGTATGAGCCCAGCGCAACACGAATGTTCGAAGGAGATGGAAGCCTCTGAGTGTCCGTGGACAAGGAAGATGGGTGTCACCTTTCTTTACTTGATGCTGAGCCTTCTGCAGAATTTTCTCACTAGTGCCATCATACTTTCCTGCAAACTATTTAAAATTCTGTTGTTGTATATACTTACCCAATGTCTATTCTTCTTTATGCCCAGAACATTCCCTACCCCAGGCCCCATGTCTAGCATTGTCTGTAAACATTTAACTAAGCTTTTTGAAATTATGGAGTATCCATAAATGGATCAAGACCCAACATAGGAAAGTGATTCCAGAGTCAGTAGATGACCACTACCCTTTCTCATGAGGTGTGGCACTCTAAGAAGGTTTTCATGTAAACCTCACCAAAAAGAAAAAAAAAAAAAAGTGAAATGGAGAAATTTTAAAATTCTGTTTACCAGAATTCCTAGGAGGAAGGAAGACCTATTTTTTGCCTTTGTTTTTTTGTAAATACTTTGATAAGCTATTGGGGTGGAATTTGAGACCCTGAAGGATCCTGAGTACAGGAAGAATTGTTCTATTCCAGGAAAATGGAGGTTTTCAAGAGTTGTCCTAGAGGGAAATAGATAAGGTAAAGTGAGGAGGCAGTTGGAAGGCAGTGGGTGTACAGTGTGACTTTTTGTGACTTCTTTAGTTATATGACTAAATAAAGGAAATATTAAATGCAACATAATTTTATTTTTGGAAAGGGAGAGGAAACCAGATAAATAAGCTGGGCTCTGTGTCCAGATGGATACAGGGTAACACACAAAGGTGAAAGGCAGAGAATTGAGGGAAGGATGAAGTTAGCCACAAGAATTTGTAGAAATCAAGGCAAAGGCGTTTTGTAGGTGACATGGTTTAGAATTGGAGATCTAAACCCACAGTTACCCCAGCTGATAAACCAGTTAATCTCATCAATCTCCAGGCTAAATTTGAAGGAAACTGACATTTTAGTTGATACAATGGGAT